TTGGAGACGGAGTGTCGCTCTGTTGCCCAGGCTGGAGTGCAATGGTGTGATCTCAGCTCACTGCAACCTTCGCCTCCTGGGTTCAAGCAGTTCACCTCAGCCTCCCGAGTAGCTGGGACTACAGGCACATGCCACCATGCCCCTCTAATTTTTGTATTTTTAGTAGAGATAGGGTTTTACCATATTGGTCAGGCTGATCTCGAACTCCTGACCTCAGGCAATCAACCCGCCTTGGGCTCCCAAAGTGCTGGGATTACAGGCATGAGCCACCATGCTTGGCCCATTCTTCAGTTTCTTAACTTTATTGGACTTTATTTTCCCCCGTATTTACAAAATAAGAACTTTATCTTTGTTAACTTTAAGATTTTTTAGCTCTAAATTTTTATGTCTCTGTGGAATGAATTTATTGAACTAATTGTCTTCTTTTTAAATCAATTAATCTTAAGTAATTAATTAATTAAATTTTTGAGATGGGGTCTCACTGTGTCGCCCAGGCTGGAGTACAGTGGCTCAATCATGGTTCATTGCAGCCTTGACCTTCCTGGGCTCAAGCCATCCTCCCACCTCAGCCTCCTGAGTAGCTGGGATTACAGGTATGTGCAACCACGCCTGGCTAATGTTTGTATTTTTTTGTAGAGTCAAGGTTTTGCCATGTTGCCCAGGCTGGTCTTGAACTCCTGAGCTCAAGTGATCTGCCTATTTAGGCCTCCCAAACTTTGGGATTACAGGCGTGAGCCACTGTGCCAGCCTGAAATAATGATCTCCTTTTCTTTTGTTTTGGTTTTATGAAACAATTATTAGGAGGTTTTCTCCTAATAGAACTAGACCATCATCAACTTCCAACATTTTAAATTTTATTTTTTCATTTATATTTGACATTGTTCCAACTAAGATTTTAATTCATTTACAAGATGCATGGAATAAAACGTAAGTTGGAAGCATGGAAGAAAAAAGACACAAATGAAACTATTTCCAAGCATGGAGCTAGGAGTGAAGTTGCTGCTCAGCTTACCTGTGTGAAGTTTTGTGTGGCCTTAAGTTAAGCTCCTACTTCAGTCATTTATTGTATGTTGTGGACAAGTTGCCAAACAACTCTAGTATTTACTCATATTTGTAGGGTAAAAGGATAAGTAATATGTATCTTTAGTGTGTAAGACATTACAGGCACTCAGTAAGTAGTTTTGTTTTTTGCAAAAGTTGGAGATAGGAAGACTTGGATTCAAATTCTGACTTTAGCAACATTATTTGCCAGCAGATTGATTTTGGCCAAGTTCATAGTAGTATAGCATAGTGTTTATAATACGGACTTTGGAGCCAGAATCTCTGGGTTCAAATACTTGCTCTACCATTAAGTCCTTAACCTCTTCACCTCAGTGTCAATTATGTAAAATAAAATAACATTTATAATCTAATATTTCATAAAGTTTCTGCCAGGATTAAATCTGATAGCATTTACTAAATGTTTCATTTACTGAATTGTTTCATTTATTTAAAACAACTCATCTCTACTGTCGGAGCTGATAATTGGGGCTCAGAGTTGTTATAAGGAGTAAGTGAAACAATAAAGTACTTAACATAGTGCCTGCCACAAGTAAGATATCACAGGCTACTAATTACTGTTTTTGTTATGCATTGTCTGAAAATGAGTCACAAAGTTGGTTCTTAGCTTTCAGGTAACTAATAATGAAGGGAGAAAAGCAACCACTTAAAGAATTTTTAGGCCAGGCAAAGTGGCTTATACCTGTAATCTTAGCTCTTTGGGAGGCAGAGGCTCGCGGATTGCTTGAGCACAGGAGTTCAAGACCAGCCTGGTCAACATGGCAAAACCCCATCTCTACAAAAAAATACAAAAATTTGTAGGACGTGGTGGTGTGGGCCTGTAGTCCCACCTACTTGTGGGGCTGAGGTGGGAGGATCACTTGATCCCAGAAGGTTGAGGCTGCAGTGAGCCAAGATCGAGCTGTTGCATTCCAGCCTGGGTGACAAAGTGAGACCCTGTCTCAAAAAAAAAATAAATAAATAAAAAGAATTTATAGTTTCCAAGGTAAAATTAACAAACCCACCTGCTTAGGTTGCAGTTGATTCAAACATGTTCTGAGAGTACAATTTGTCTTGCCGGTACTGATGAGGAAGACATCTTACTTCATCTTATAAGGGTATCTTTAATGTGAGTGGAGTCAAAATAATTTATAAAAGTGGTCTTCGGGGTCCAGATTGATGTGTTTTAGGTATCAGCCTCTGTGATGATCTGATTTAATTCAGGGATAGACTTTTGAGGGGCTACAGGAATGGTTTGACCTTTAGGAATTTCTCTGTGGATGTTGTTTTTCCTCTCTGTGCTTTTGAAATGGCAGTGAGTGAGGCTGGCAGTGGTATGTGCTGCTCCTACTTATACGTTCTAGTGATAACTTTCCTCAAGTTCAAGACTGTTACGTTAGTTTTTTAAAATGTCTGCTTAACTTTGTCGAGTTTTAAAATCATATTTGCAGTTAAAAAATTATTTGTAATTGTGAAATACCAAATCTGAAATTGTATTTTAATACTCTTTAAGCTATAAAAGTCAATAATTTTTCCTTAATATTAAATTTTTTTTTTTTTTTTTTTGAGACGTAGTTTCGCTCTTGTTACCCAGGCTGGAGTGCAATGGCACGATCTCGGCTCACCGCAACCTACGCCTCCCGGGTTCAGGCAATTCTCCTGCCCCAGCCTCCCGAGTAGCTGGGATTACAGGCGTGCGCCACCATGCCCAGCTAATTTTTGTATTTTTAGTAGAGACGGGGTTTCACCATGTTGACCAGGATGGTCTCGACCTCTTGACCTCGTGAATCCACCCGCCTCGGCCTCCCACAGTGCTGGGATTACAGGCTTCAGCCACCGCGCCCGGCCAGTATTAAATATTTTTATAGCATATTGTAAAAAATGAGAAATTTGGAATATATCACTTTTATTTACCATGTTAAATGCTCAATCCCTTCTCCCCACCATGCACACCCACACAAAAAAGATTTTTGGAAGATGTTATAGGGCAAAGAGTGTGTTAAGAGATGGTGGCTCACGCCTGTAAATCCCAGCACTTTGGGAGGCCAAGGCAGGTGTATCACTTGAGGTCAGGAGTTCGAGACTAGCCTGGCTAACATGGTGAAACTTCACCTCTACTAAAAATACAAAAATTAGCTGGGTGTAATGGTG